GGTGGCCTTTTAGTCATTTCAGGAAGAAACGGTCATCAATCACCTACTACGTACGTGCCAGGCCCTGTGCCAGGCACTGGGTCACTGAAGCAGCAAAAGCACCACCAGGCCCTGCGCTCACAGAGCTCAGAGCTCCACGGGAGAGGCAGAACAACTAAACAACCCACAACAAATAATTACAAATTGGGCTAAGTGCTGTGAAGGCAGGAAAGAGTAATTAGCCTGCGCTTACCTCTCCCTGGCTCCAGAGGCCTGCCCTCATTATAGAATGCCCACACCTGCCAGACCTCCCCAGCACGCCGCTGGCCGACGAGCCTGGCTCACCTGGCACAGCAAGGGGGTTGGCAAAAGTTTGAGAAACATTTGATGAGCTAAACTTAAAAACAAAAATTTTTTTAAAAACAGCAATCATCCAGGTGGCCGGTACAATCTAATTCTACAAACCACTGTGGCCCAGAGAAGCCAAGCATTTGGCCTCAAACCATACAGCTAGTGAGTAGCAGAGCCCAGACCAGAAGCCAGGCCTCCTGCGTCCAGGTCCAGAGCTCTCCCATGGCCGTATGCTGCCCCCCTAGTCTGTCTTGAAGCACCTCACAGCCTCCAGGAATCTGCAGCCTCCTGGCCCCTCTCAGACGCCTCCTTTGCAGATCAGCACTATCCAACAGAATCATGGGCAGTGGTGGAAGTGTCCCAAGCCCACGCTGTCCAACACGGACACTTGGCATCACTCGGCAGGCTCGGGGGAATGGGGCCAGTTTGGAGGGGTGGAAATTGGCAGGGGATGTGGAGAGAGGTGGGTGTGGAGGAGCTAAGACAGAGAGAGGGAGAAGGGCAACAGGTGCAAAAGGATCCTGTTTGATGTTCCAAGGAATCTTCTAGACTTTATCCCATAGTCCGCGGGGAGCTGCTGAAGTACTTTATGCAAAGTAATGAAATGATCGTGTTCTGCCCAGGCCCCTGAATCAGTCAGTGCTCCTCCAGGCTCCGCAGCACCTGCAGTGACACTGGCTGTCGTCGTGGTCACCGTCCACCCACACTGCCTCTCGCCCCACAGCCCTTCCGACTTCCTCAGCCTGAAACCCACGTCTCCTCCCCTCCTGGGCAACTCTCCCTCTCCCTGCAAGCCTTTGCTCCCTGGCCCCACTGGGAAGACCTCGCAGACCCCTTCCCCCAACCCAGCTCAGTGCCTCTCCCGGCCTCTGTGTGGAAGAGGCTTTATGCTCACTGTTTTCATTTCTCTATCCTTGCGGTTAGTTCCCCTTTCTTGGCCCTTGCTCATCCCAAATGTACTTTCGGCTTCCCTATCCCAGCTCCAGGGCCCTCGGAAATGTTTTTTATATAGCAATATGTTGCCCGAAGACCCTCAGCCCTGGTCCTAGGCATCCCATTCCCAGACCCTGGCTGCTGGGCAGGGCCTCCCTCCTTCACCCTCAGGAGAGGCCTGCTCAACGGGACAAATCAAAGAAAAGAGGCTGGAGTTTCCAGCCTCATCAGGGAGAGAGCTCTGACCCAGTGAGCATAGATATGGAGGTGTGTTTAGGAGAAAGAAGAAGAGATGGACAGGAACATGAGCAGGCTCATCTGGGAAGGCTTCCTGGAGGAGTGGCCTGACCTTGCCATCATTCCCTGGAGTGAAGCTAAGATTCTTTCCTGCCCAGACACTTCCTGCCTATCTCTCCAAGAGTCACATCTTACCCCAGAGCCCCAGCCAGGCTGGGATGTGCTCACTGAAACATCCACCCAACAACTACGCATCGCTATGCTGCATCATTCCAGGCCTGCCGGCTCCATGGGCCAGGCTTCCAGCCAAAGGGAACCAGGCACAGAGGAGGAGCTGAAACTGTGACACGGGGATGCCATTCCCATAAGGCCATCGAGCCGGGCTCCCCAGGACTGAGAGACGAACCCTGAGCCGGGTCTCTGAGTGGGCAGGACACTCTCACAGGCACAGGAAGACAGGGAGGCAAGAGAGAAGAGGCGGGTGAGGGTGAGAGGGAGACAGGGCAGAAGTTGGGCAAGAGTGATGTGAAGAGAGAAATGGAAGGCAGGAGAAAGCAGAGAAAATGAGGAAACTCCCCCTTACTTCTTTGAGGACCAATTTCAGGAGGCTTCTGGGCAGCCCGGCCGACCCTTTTCTCTGGCCAGCCCTTGCCTCTCTTCTGCCTTTCCTCTGTCTCCTGAAAGATCCGCATTGTATCCTGTCACCAGTCACAGGGAATCCCAGGCACGGTGGGAAGACTTGAGGGGGTGGGAGGGGGACTGAGCTTTCTGTCCCTGACTATGTGAGGACCAACCAGGACAGGTGTCCAGAGTCCCAGAGGGTCACAAGGTGCGGGTCTACAGCTGGGGTCACCCAAGCTCACACCCCACCCAAAGGCTCAAACAGACTAGTTTGTGAGCATACTCAGGTGGAGTTTGGAGACTGCCCAGGTCCCTCGACATCCCCAAAGAGACTAACCATCTTACCCACCCTCCATCTTCCCTCTCCCATCCCTGCTAGGTGGTCCGGGCTCCATATCAAGGCCTGAAGCGGGTCATGTCAGGTCCTCCACAGGGGTGGAAAGGCAGGGACTTGGACAATTGACCCCCAAGGATGCCAAAGCAGGAGTGAGGGGAGGTGTGGGAGGCGTGGTGATGGAGCTGGGTGCCTTCATGGGGTTGTGTTTATCTGGGGCCTTCGACTGCTCTTCCTCCTCAGCAGCCACGCCGTGACAGCCAAAGACGTCCCTCTGACAGCTCCCAGGAGAGGCTGTACGGCCAGAGAGGAAGCAGCAGGTGAGACGTGGGTCCCACCCCACCCATATCCCACCCCTGGGCCACAGCCCCTGGGAGCATCCCACTTCCTCCAGGAGGCCAGTGCCCCCCAGAGGAAGGCTGCCCAGTGTTCGGGTCCCAGGGTCCTCTGCAATGCCAGCCTCAAAGCCAAGGACCAGCAATTTACTGTGACCTGTCTAAATTCAGAGGCTGACCAGAGGTCAGTGGAAGTCAGCAAGAAACAGCAGACTGAAGTTATGCAGAGGCACTTTGACGAATTGGCTGTCCAGCTTAGAAAAGTTAGGAGGTAGAACCAAGCCCCAGACAGTAGGAAGAGAGCTTCCTTCTCTACCCACTGCCCTTTCCAGCAGCCATCAAGCCCAGAGGAAGATAAGGGGAAAGGCTCGTGGCTCCAGGGGTCTGGGTTTAAACCCAGCACTGATAGCCTACATGACCTCAGACAGGCGATGAACCCCTCTGAGGTTCAGTGTCCACCACTGTAAATCAGGCTGGTGAGAATTAAAGCTTCCACCTCAAGTAGGGGTGACCAGGAGAATTAAGGAAGCTAATCCAGGTAAAGCATTTGGGACATACCTGACCTGCCAGCTGTCACCACCAGTGGGGCCCAAATGCCATTGCCTGCCCTCCCATTCACCCACAGAGTACAGGGCAGCTGGGGCGGGGGAGGGCAGGGTGCTGAGTTTGACCGAATGCCATTCAGATGCCAGGTCAGGGATACTGGGGTGAACCATGGAAGTGGGTGCCGAATGTGGCCGCAAGGGTCAGAAGTGGGCACCGGTCACCCAGAAGTGCCTCGCCAGCCCACCCCCAGCCTCAGAGCCTGGAACCAGGCCTCAGGATGGACTCATGGCCTAGGTGCAGATTCCTGTGCCTTAGTGGGTCCAAAATGTGCGCTGTGTGGGAAAGAGGTCTGGCCTGGGAGGCAGGAGGCCTGGAACGGGCAGTGTGACCCAGCAGCGGCTCCATCCCCAGGCCCAGAGAGGGCTGACATCTCTTCTATCCCTGCCTGCCTGGCTCTATCTTAAACAAACTCCTCCTCTGCTACGACCCCACCACCTGGGGCGGTGTGCCAGGTCAAGGGAGGACACACAGAGCTCGCCAGCCAGGGCGAGAGGGTCCAGGGACACCAGGCCAGGGAGGAAGAAAGAGGCAGACCCGGGAGAGCTGGTACTCCATGGGAGTGGAGGCAGGGGCCTCTGGAACTTCAGGAAGGAGGGAGGGAGTGCTTTGGGTGGGCTGAGCCTTCTCCTGCCCCATCTAGACTCTGTGGGAGCAAAGTGCTGTCTTTCTATTTTTACTTCATATTTAAAATGAAACAGGGGGAGGAGATGGAGAAGAGAAAGGAGGAATGGGAGGGGGCACAAAGGCACATTCTCATAGCCCTTGAGGCAGGGCTGCATTTGGTCACGGCTGTCTCCCCAGCCTGACTCGGCCTCCAGAAGGTGGGCACTGGTCTTAGCCACCATTTACTGAGGATTTGGTGCTAGCCTCCCTGCGTTCTCTGCACATGCCACCTCCTATGGGGTTGATGGTTTCATCCACATGTTACACATAAGCACAGAAATCAAGTAACCTGCCCGAGGCCATGCCAGTCTTAAACCCATGTCTCACTTGTCCAAAGCCAAGGGCTCTTGGCCATGACCATCTATTTCTTCTCCAGCCTCTGAGACAGTAGAATGCACATAGTAGGTGCTTAATAAATGGTAGATCAAAGGAAGGAAGGAGAGAGGAAGAGAGGGAGGAAGAAGAGAAGATAAGCCAGGGAGAATCTTGGGCAACTGGAAAATATAAAATAAAGGTGTTGTTTTCCAAAGCTAGGCTGGAACGGTGCCTGGGATGGCAACCCTATACTCAGGAAGATTTGCCTTACACTTCAGAGCTCAGGGCCTGCGCTTGCCTCATCTTTTCCAGAAGTATGTGGGCCCAGGTACGTCAGCCTCCAGGTATGCAGTGAGGTCTGCGGTGAGAGGTAAGAGGCGCGCGCCCTCTCGCTCTCTCTTCCTCCTTGTTGAATCACCCCTTCCTCTCGCAGCCTTCCCGCCCCAACCCAGCCAGCCCAAACTTGCCCCCTCCCTGAAACCAGACCCTGCTGGGTTGGGGGCCTGTGAACAGCCCCTCAGCAAGGCAGCTCCCCTGCCCGGAGGAGTGGTGCCGGGGGCGGGGCCAGAGCATCACGTCATCTAACAGGTTGGTCGGGCTGGGAGGCGTCCCGCCCTCCTGCAGCTAATGAGCACTGTACGACAGGTGTTTGCCCCTCAGTCCCCAGCCTGTCCTGCCTGCGACTGGAGCCGGCTGCCGACGCCACCCGCAAAAGTTTCCTCGCTCATCTCTGCACCCTCCGCGCCCCAGGCCCGGGGGGCCGCGGCGATGGCCTGCCGCTCCTGCGTCGTCGGCTTCAGCAGCCTTAGCAGCTGTGAGGTGACTCCAGCGGGCGGCCCCCGGCCTGGGACCTCGGAATGGGGCAGCTGCGGAGCCCCCGGGCCGGGCTTCAGCTCTCGCAGCCTCACAGGCTGCTGGTCCGCCGGCACCATCCCCAAGGTGACCGTGAACCCCAGCCTGCTGGTGCCCCTGGACCTCAAGGTGGACCCAGCCATCCAGCAGCAGAAGACCCAGGAAAAGGAGGAGATGAAGGTCCTCAATGATAAGTTTGCCTCCTTGATTGGCAAGGTAAGCAAAGATGGGAAGGGGGTCTCCGAAAACTGAGGACGGGCAGGAGGCTCTTCGGTACTTCCGGAGCATCATGCCCCGCCCCTGGGCCCAGCCAATGGGGAGCCGGCGTGGCTAACTCCGCAGGCTCGCTCGGAGCAGAGAGATGTGGAGGCAAGTCCCTGAGCCACGCTGGCGAAGGGGGAGAAAGAGTCCCCGGGATGGCCTCTGAAGGATGTCTGGATAATACTGTGCAGTGTGGCCTCGGGTGACCCTCCCCCTGGCATGGACTGGAGAGCTCTGAGTATGGCCAAAAGGATGCCCCTCCTAGGAATGGCTGGTGAAGGCATGGTCTGCAGTCCTACTCCGAAGCAGATGGACAGTGGAGATGACCTCCCAAGGGTCCACTGTCCTGTCCAGGCCTCTGGCCCTGTTTAGCCTTCCCGGAGTAAGGAGCACCAGCCGAGTCAAGGAGGCATGTGTGTAGGAGGGGGCAGGTGGGGGGCTTCCAGAAGGGACTGCAGCTGTGGAGTCAAGAGACGGGAATGCAGGCGATGGGTGCTGAGAATCAGAAAGAGCCAGCCGGCAGGCTAGCCAGCCAGACACCCCCCTGCGTGGGGGGAGTGAGTCCCCAGAATTCCGACTTCCTGGACCCGATGCCGGCGTGCTGGTCTGGGCACTCCTGTCCGCCTCCGCCCCAGGGCAAGAGCTTCCAGAGCTTTGAGGAAGTCCTGTCCACTTCCCAAACCTGCTCCTTACTTAACTCCTTCAAGAGACCTCTCCTGACCAGCCCTCAGCTCTGCACCCTCCTCCCCTGCCCAAGGAAAATAATCAAGTACTAAGAGCGGCTGTTACTTAATTGCTTATTATGTGCCAGAAACTGTGCTAGGTGCTTTGCTATTTATCTCTCTTTCCTTCAACAAGCCTAGGAAAGAAGTCACTTTATGCCCATTTTACCGATGTGAAAAAATCAACCTTCTTTCCCTCCACCCCCCGTAAACCAGAGCCCCACCCCTCTGCCCTGACTCAGTTCTTGCCTGCATCTTGCTCTCCCGGCTTCTGTGTTCCTCTGCATGTTTCCAGTGTCCCCAGGAGGGGACCGCTCCCAGAGAGGGGCAGAGGGAAGAAAGCAACACATTTTGAGCATGGCTGGCTGTCTATGGGAGCCGATCGTGCCTGGCTGTCTGTGGGAACTTTGCAGACTTGTGTCATTTAGCCTACACAGCAACGCCCCCAGAGGCTAGTTCCCCTGCCTGCACGTGAGGAGACCGCCCACCCAGAGATTGAGTGCCTTGCCCAAGGTCATCTAACCGGCAAGTCTACTGGCTGGATTTGCACTCAGGTCTGTGAGACACATGGCAGTCGTCTCTGAGATGGGGAGCGTTTCTGTCCCCCATTCACACGCCCAGGCCAGCATTCTTCCGGCTGCTGGCACCCACGCCTGCAGTGTCTGGGTGAGGGCTGTGAAGCCTCCCCTGCCCCAGTCCTGGCTGGAGGCAGAGCCTGACACTGCTGGGCCATTGGCCCTAGGAGAAGAGTCCACTGTCCTGAGGAGGCAGGTCCCTGCAGAACCACCTCCTCTCCAAAACCAGGTTAATCCCTTAAAAGGAATGCTTCGTGAGCTATATAATTTGGCTCAGATGGGTGGCTTTTTCCCTGAACACCAGGGCTGATGTTACCCAGTGCCTCTGCCATGGGGACATGAGGGTAAGTAGGCACAGGGAGGGGGCCTGAGCGGTCGGGGTCCTGTGCCCGGGGGCCAGGGCAGTGCCCTCCAAGGTCTTTAGCAGAACTGGAACCTCCCAACCCTCAAGCGTGGGCCTTGAGACAGGTGCTCTTCAGGGTAGAGGAAGAGAGCCTTGGGTGCCAGCCCTTTGGGGGACCCGATTGCTGGGCCTCTTCCTGAGGACTCTCAGCTGCCTCGTGAACTCTTTGGAGATTTGTTGGCTCAGGTCCCTCTCTCTCCCCTTATAAAGCCCACGAGGACCTGAGTGGAAGCAGGTAGCAGTTAAGAGGGTGCAACCTGGAGCCGAATGGCTGGGTTTGAGTCCTGTCTCCCACCTCTGACCAGCTGTGTAAGCTCAGGCAAACCGTTTGAACTCTGTGCCTCAGCGCAATTCCGTTTAATGGGCTTGTTACACTCAAATGGGATAAAATCATTTACTGAAAATCATTTATAAAGCATTTATCATGTACCAGGTGTGTTCATTTGTTAAATTAAAAATACCATAAATGGACCCAGCCCAGGGTGCTCTTGAACCCAGCTAGCCTCTTTCAGGAAGGAGTCTGAGAAAGGGGGGGAGGGGCCTTGCTGGAGGGAGGGGTGGAGGAGCTTTGTGGCTAGGGGTGCAGCATAGGGCTTGAAAGAGATACATGGGCCCAGGGTAAGGTAACCTAACCAGTGCAGGGGTGGGGGATCTAGGCAAAGAGAAGGGACAGTCAAGGGCCCTTCAGCTCCACATCCCCTCTGTCCCTCTGAGGCCTGGGGAGAAGTCAGAGCACCAAGGAGGAGGAAGAAGAGGAGGAGGAGAAGGGTTGGTGGGAAGACTACCAGGAGTTGGCAAGAGGCCCTGGAGCAGCACTGACTCTTCCACTCGCAGGCTGTGTTTCCCAGGGCAAACCACTTATCCTCTCTGTGGTCCACCCACCCTCCCACTCCGAGGGTGGCCCCGAGCCCACGCCAGTGTAAAGACTGGCACAGTGGCAGCCATCAGAGGAAGGGGGATGAGCAGAAGCTACAGCAGGAGAGGAGGCGGACGGAAGCTGGGAGAGGGCAACTCAACATCCAGCAGAGAGGCTGCTGTCTGGGAGGGATGGAGATGAGACAAGAGGAAGGACTACCCGAAGTCAGCCCGAGTAGGCTCTCCAGAAGGAACTGAAGGCCAGGGGGTGAAATGCCCGGAGTCAGAGAGATGGACACAATATCTTCCCCTAGGCCTGTGTGGCCCCTGGAAGTCACTGGAGCCATGCCCTGCCTATAAGCAGGAAGGCACAAACCAGTCCTTCAAGACAGAGACCTGGAGGGTCCCTGGTCAAAGCCAAACTCTGGCTGCAGGCAGGGAATTTGACAAACTCCCTCCCCTGAGGACTAGGACCTGCCTGCCCCAGGAACGCCACCCTGTATGCTCCCCTGCCTGGAGTATGGGCCCATGGGTTGGGAACCTGGGCTGCTCGGCTCCCTACAAAAAACACCTGTCCCCAACCTGGTCTGGCCCACCCAGTACCATGGAGTTGAGTCACAGGGAGTTCTGTGCTTCTGGGCCGGTAGACCAGGGGTTGCTCTGGGAGACCCCTCCTAGAATTGCCAATGTGTGACCTAAGAGCACAGAATGGGGAGGAAGGGGAATAATAGGTGAGTACTCAGCAGCCTTGGTTGGATGGTGACAACTAACTTGGCACCTCCCTAGGTCTTTGTCTGAGAGGGAGGAGCCTTTCTGCAGGGAAAGTTTTTTTTTTTTTTTGGGGGGGGTCATTGCCATTCCCAAACACTGAGACGATAGGCAGCCCCCCCAAGGGCAGCGGGGGAGGGAACTGCCCCAGATCCCCCACAGCCAGAATCCCATCTGGCTGGACTGTCAGGCCAAATGCACTCCATCTCCCAGCAGGCTAGTGCTATAGCATAGGGGATTCGAGTCAGACTGTAGGAAAGACTTCCCGGTGTACAGGGGTTTTTCTGCTGCCTATGGGTGGAGGGAGGAGTCTCACATCTCTCCTGCCACCCCACCCTCAGTGTAAACACGGGCTCCTGCTTGTCAAAACGGAGTGAAGGTGGGGCGAGCAGATACCTCCCCCCCAAAAAACACTCACACAAGTAAGACAGAAACCCTCTTGACTTCCATTCCTACTGAACCTGTTTGGCTGCAACTCTCACAGACTGCAGGCTTAGGTCAGCCTCCAGCTGAACTTACCTATGCAAATGGGAGGTGAGCCGGGGAATGACAGCCCACAGTGGCCATCATCCATCATTCCTGCTGATGTCGCCACTGGGAATGTCAAGGGGGACTTCCCAAGGGCGTCAGAGTGCCTCTGGGGACACTGGGGATGTGGGCATGGCAGAGAAAGAGAGAGGAGGGCCCACCTGGCCCCCAGACTCAGGAGGAACAGGGAATCCATGAAGGTCCAGAGTAGTCAGCCACCATAAATGGGTCTGTCTGGGAAGCTTGGCCACCAAGTGGCCGTGTGACACTGGACAAGTCCCTTGACTGCCCTGGGCCTCCGTCTCTTCTGTGAATGAAGGGGACAGACCACTTGCTCCAAAAGGCTCCTCGCCGTGATTCTGGTCTCTCAAACTGTGATGCTGGGGGCTGGCGCCAGCAGTGAGCAAGAAGAGGCCCACCTACTCACCTGTGGTCATAGGTAGGGGGAGCATCCCTGGACCAGTTATCACAGCATCCTCCTGACAGCGACAGCCTGTCTGGTCCAGAAACCAGGCCCCAGCCATCCCACAGGAGGAACCCTAATTGCCTGCCGGTGGCTGGGATGGGAGTGGAGGGTGGTAGAAGCTTGTGCTGCCGTCTGAGCAGGAGAATGTGAAGGAGGCAGAGCTTGAGAGGAGCAACGGAGCCCAGAGCCCCCCAGTCTTTGCCCTCAAGGAAACACTGGCCTAACTAGAGGCAGAAGCCAGCAAAGAAGGGCAGGTGATCCCGGGGCGCACAGCCATCCCGGCAGCCGACAGCAGATGTTGCAGCGGGTGAGAGGTTCTAAACCTAAACTCACTGGAGTCCACACCTGGCTCTACCACCTGCCAATGTTGTGACCTTGGGCAACTATTTAACCTCTCCATGCCTGGGCTACTCATCTGTAGAGTGCAGCTCATAACAATATTACACTGGGTCGTCTCAGGGGGTTAATGAGGTAAACATGTTGTTAGGCTTTTAAACAGGCCTGACACCCAGAAGGAGCCACATAATCGTCAGCTTTTATTTCTATTCCAAAGCACATCCCAGGTTCTTCTCCCAACAGCCCTCTGAGGTGGGCAGGTGATGTCATCCCCAGCTTCTATTTGGGGAAACTAAGGCTTGGCAAGGCTACGTACGGGTCCACAGTTGCTGGGAAGATTAGCATTAAGTACTAACCAGGCCCTACCCTGCTGAGTTTCCAAAGCAAGATGAGACCCGGCTTGCCGAGGGGGGTGGCAGATGGGCCTCTGACACCTCAGGTTCCCTGGGGTCCCCCACCCAAGCCCCAGGAGGGCACTAAGAGCCTGTCACTTTCACACCCTAGTTCCTCCTCCCCTTATCTAACTGGCCCCGCTCCTCCCCTGGGAAAACTCTGCTAATTGGCTCCACCCCTCTTCGATTCCCTCCTTATCTCACTATCGTTAGTTTTAACTATCAGTAGTTGGAGAAGCCCTTTGAATGTGCTGAGTGATGGCCCTGGATAGGTGCGCAGTGCAGATGAGCTGCCACTTCCCAGGGAAACCCCAGGCGGGGCTCAACGGCTGCCCTGGGGCCTCCGGGCCTGAGCCTGGGCCTCTCACAGAAGCCTTCCTGCTCCCCCAGGTACAGGCCCTGGAGCAGCGCAACCGGCTGCTGGAGACCCGCTGGAGCTTCCTGCAGAGCCAGGGCTCCACTGCCTTTGACCTTGGGCACCTCTATGAGAAGTACGAGGGCCGGCTGCAGGAGGAACTGCGCAAAGTGAGCCAAGAGCGGGGACAGCTAGAAGCCAACCTGCTGCAGGTGCTGGAGAAAGTCGAGGAGTTTCGAATCAGGTAGAGTGCACCCTACAGGGCTGTGGCAGGGACTGTGGGTGGGGACCAACCTGCACTCAGGTACAAGGTCCCGGTGTAGTCAGGCCAGAACACGAGGAAACTTCTTTAAGGAATATTTCTTTACTCCAGGTATACTTTTCGAAGACCTATTATGTGTCAGGCAATATTCTAAACTTTGAGGGGATACGGCCGTGAAACCACAGTTCTCCTACCCCCAAATAGTGACTCTTACAAGGAAGTCAGTCTTGTAGTGTCTGACAGCTTGCTGACCCCTGGGCACCACCGAAGCCACTGTCCCCTATCCCCTCGTATTGTGTCCATAAACGCTCTTGCTCTTGCCCACACGTCCCACTAGCAATGCTAGAGCAACAGCTGAGCTCCTGCTTTGGATACGGTTTGGGATTTCTCTCTTGTCTGGGCTGGAAAGGAAAGGAGCAAGTGCAGGCAGAAGCCAGAGCAGTGGGTTTGGGTAGAATAAAGAAGCAACCCTCCATGTGTGGTGCGCACTGACCTCAGTGGGATCCAGAGAGAGGAGGGAAACAGCCGCAGCCTGCAGTACGCTTTCACAACTTTGTGGGGCAAGCTGGCAGGCAGTACTGCCCAGTGGTTAAGGGCTCAGTCTTGGGTGTAGAGTGAAAGGGATTTACTATCTGCCCCACCCACCTAGCTTCGTGACAGTGGTCAAGTGACCTAACAAGGGAACCTCAGTTTCCTCCTGTGTGCAGAGGGAAGGATGGTGGCTGATACCAACCAGGGCTGGTAGGAGGAAGTCAAGAACTCAGTATGGATATAAATGGCCGCTCTTGTATCCCGTAGAAGGCTGATGTGCTCCGCACACAGTGTCGGTCTTGGCGTGGGCTTGCTGAGCTGAACTGGACAGTCTAGAAAGGCAGACCATACACTTAGATGGCTCAGAGGAGACCAGACAGTGGCCAGGGCGTCACAGACCAGGAGGCTGGACAGAGCATGGGGGCTGCTCCCCTACACCCCCTCCTCAGGGCTTGTCTCCAGCCAAGGGGAGGGGAGGGCAGGCCGTGGCTGAACCCTCTCCCCTCCTCCAGCCTTTGGGTCCTGCTTCGAACCCTGCTGAACTGGGGAGAGGCCTGCTGTCTCCAGAGCAGCCAGCAAGGCAGGACTGGAGAGTAAGCGCTGTCTGTCCAGGGGCCTGGGCTGGGACTGAGCCTGTCCGCTGCCTCTCTGTGCGACCTCCTCTGTTCAGGCCACATTCAGAGGGCATGGTCACACAGGACACTCTCCCCATTCTGGGGCCTCAGATCCTCATCTGTGGATCTGCCTGGAAACTTCCGGCCAACAGGCATGATCTGTAGCCCTGGCCCAGGCTGTTTCTCATGGCTGGGCCCCTCTCTGACCTGGGGCCACTCTACCCCAGCCCTGCCCTCCCAGGTCCTAGGGAAACACATAGGGAATCTGATTACCCATCTGACCACAGTGAGGGCCATGGTGTTAGTGTACCAGAATCTGTTACGATATCATCGCACTGATATCTCGCAGGCCTTTGGCCCTCTGAGGATCAGAAGATGACAGAGCAAGGGGGAGGCCCTGGATCATACTTCTATGGGGAAGGAAACACAGTCCCAGAGAGGGCAGGGGCTTGTCCTCAGTCACAGAGCCATGCGTGCTGAAACCCATCCCTAATCTCTGTCATCCAGGGAGAGAGGCTGCTCCCATGAGCCCGGCCAGATCATATCCATGGAGATACTTTGTACCTGGAAGTTCTGTACAAACACTACTTGTTCTAATCTGGCTCGGCCCCCTCATTTGGCCTGCTGCCTTGTTCCAACTGCCGCCTGATTTGACTACTTAGGCTCAGAGCTTCCCTTCCTCTCTCTGGTAGGGAACCCACCTGAGTTGGAGGAAGCCCAGGCTGGAGGGCTTCTGGGTCTGCAGGCCAGAGCCTGAAAAGCAGCAGCCTGGCTGTGCAAAGCCTGGGGGCCCCGGGAGCCAAGAGGCACCAGGCCAAGCCCTGAGGGGGAGGGGTGTGCCCTGCCTCTCTGAGGCCGATGAGATCAGCTTTGCTCGCTCATAGAAATAAACAAGTCAGGGAGAGGGGGTGCTGTGGGTGTGAAGAGCTGCAAAGGGCTGAGAACGGGTTTGGGAGCTGTCAGCTCTCAGAAGATTGGGAGTGAAATTCGGGATGTGGCATCACCTAAGCCTCTGTAAGGATGGAGACTTCCCAAACCTTTGATGTAGCCAGGACCCCAAGCAGCAGCTAGCCAACCCGTCCGTTTACTGAGAATGAAGCAGAAGCCCAGCCAGGGGGAACAGCTTGCCCAAGGCCACAGCAAGCTACTCAGGTACACTGCACACAGTTGTGCAAGCTGTTCACTGCACAGGTTGAGGGGGTGGACTGGGGCTGGAATCCCATGGAGTCAAAGAGAAGGGAGCAGGGCAGGCTGCACAGAAGGATGAGAAAGGCGGTAAGGGGTAAGGAGGAGTCTCGCACCTCAGAGGGACCCCAACTGGGCGGCTCTGCCAAGGGTCCTGCCCCCAGACTGGCCAAACTCCGCCACCAGAGGGGTGGGAGCAGAAGGGAGACATTTGACCACCGGGCTTGTGTGGGAAGGGCCAGTCAGTGAGGAGCTTCTTAGACTGGGGGGTCCTCAGACCCCTGTGCCCAGGGCAGGGCATTCCTCAGAGGACCCCACAATCCAGAGGGAAGCCCATTCAAAGCAGCCTAGTCCCGAGGGTCCTGAAGGATGTGCAGAAAACCACCCACACACTCTCTCTCTGCAGTGACGCCTCCCACGGTTCCGCTCCAATGATGCTGGAGCGGAAGCACTGCGGGCCAGGCCTGGAGTTGGAGCTTAGGCGATAACAGTGGCAGTAGGTTTAGGGGGTGCCAGGCACAGTTGTGAGCACTTCATGTGTTTACTTAGTTCACCCTCACGACATCACTTACTACGACTGAGCTACACATAATTGCTTATCCAGCGTCACACAGCTGGTTAGCAAGGAAGCAGGACTGCAACCCAGCTAGCCTGGATCTGAGGCCCATGCATAACCAGCACACCCACGAGCCTCAGGCCCTTCACCGGGCCTCCATTTCCTCACCTGTGAAATGGCACCAATAGGGCCTGCCTGGACGGGGGCCCTGAAGGTCACGGGAGCCAGTGCAGGTAAAGCCTCCTGGACATTTTGTTTGCTCTGGAAAGTTCTAGACTGCAGGACAGTCTCCCTAGCCCAGCCCTTCACCCTGCCACCGTCACCTGTACCCTCAGAGCCCCTGGCAGACTTTTAGAAGCCAAGGCAGTGAGTGACAAGAGAGAGTGCACACTCAGCACACTGAGTTTCAGAGACCCGAGCGCCCTGCGGGCTGGTGCCCCGGATCTGCTCCCCTTGGCTCCTTGGGAAGGCAGGCAGAAGAGAAGGCCTGAGGGGTGGCGGGTCCAGCCAGGGGATGTGGGCGAAGGTGACGCTGCCCTGCTGCGAGGTCAGGGACTGGGGCAGGCAGGCGGCTATAATTAGAGCCGCCAGTGATTCAGGTGTCCCCTGGAGAGGAGGGAAGGAGACAGGGAACCACAGAATCCCTGCACCCGCTGAGGCAGGCAAGGCCAAGGCGTTGGCCTTGGGGGGGGAGTCAGTGGCTGGTGGACACCCACCTGCTGGGCCAAGATGTATGTCTTGACTAGAGGAAGGTGAGGTCAGGGGCCTAGGGGTCCCATCTCCCACCCAAAATAGTGTCCTTGTTCCAAACAGGAAGTGGACCTGAAGAAGGAAAAAGCACATCTGAGAAGAGGGGGGACCCACCTCAATTGAGTACTGACTGCCCACGTCTATCATTGCATCAGGAGTGGACACACATGCACGCACATGCGCACACATGCACACACACACACAGGCACGTGCCTGGTAGCCCAGAGAGTCAAGGAAGGAGGTGTGGAGTTATCCGCCCAACCAAAACCACACTGCGGGTCCATCTGATTGTGAAGTCCACACTCTTCCTGTCCTCCCGGTGGAGGGAACTCGAGGGAACCGGGTACTACCATCTGGTAGAGGGGAGAAGGGTGGGGCTGCAGGGAGGGTAGAGGTGGGAGAGGCTGAGGGTAAGCAGGATGCTCAGTGCAGACCTGACCAAAGACACCGTTGGTTAGAAACCGAGACACCCTGGGGGAGGAGGGAACAAACTGTCAGGGTAAAAAGGCTACACAATCAGGAGTGGCTTCCTGGAGGAGGTAGATATGGAGCAGGGCCAGCAAGGGGACAGACGCCACGGGGAGAGCACGGGCTGATGGTCAGGAAGGAGAACGGTTTTGCCTGCTTCCCCGGAGCCAACACCAGGGTGTCATGGGGGAGAAGGGACGTGTCATAGAAGAAGAGGGGCTCCATCCACCTGAAGGAAGAATCACTTTTTTCTAATTGTCACAAGGCACCAAATGGGACAGCAGAAGCCCTAAGTCCCACCCAAGGGGTTAACCAAACCCCAAGCTCCCACCACATCAGCTGAGCAGCCTCTCTCTCTGTCTCCCCCACCCGCCTCACCTCCCAGGTATGAAGATGAGATCTCCAAGCGCACAGACATGGAGTTTACCTTCGTCCAGCTGAAGAAGGTAGCCTGCCCCGCCCGCCCCAGGGGCCCTTCTTCACGGACCCTCTGCCTGCTTTCCCTCAGGACCCCCAGGCAACGCCCTCAGAGGCTTGGGTCCCAGGACCACAGAGAGATACCTGTCCCCACCCTGCTCCCCATCCCAGGCTCTGAGCCAGCCCTCCTCTGGGAACCACCCCAATCTCACCCAGGAAGCAAAGGCCCCCACCTCGCTCCTGTCCTGGGACCCCTCCACTCCCCCTCCCTTCACTCACAACTGCTCCCACCCCCAGGACCTGGACGTAGAGTGTCTTCGACGGACCGAACTGGAGACCAAGTTGAAAAGTCTGCAGAGCTTCGTGGAGCTGATGAAAACCGTCTATGAGCAGGTGAGAAGGCAGGGCCAGTGTCCTGCCCGGCCAAGAGCTGACTGGCCCTGGCCAAGGGGCGCAGGGAGGGCAGGAGGTCCAGTGGGGTGTGGAACCTTCACAGGCACTGTTTCTGGTCACAGTTGTGATGATTTCCTAAACCACAGCCTACATTGCTGCCAATAACCCAACATGTCCCCTCGTCACTTACTGAACAGAGCATGGGCAGGTAGGTTCTAAAAAGGCCTTCTCTCGGGGAACCCATGCCTCCTTTGTGCTGAAGTGCAGAGGCACGTGGGGGACCAGGTGCATCTGGACCAGGGTCAGGAGGTGGCCTCAGAGCGGGGGACCAGGGGACCCTGCACAGCCATTCCTATTGAACTAAACTCTGTGCCTGCCATTGCAGATGCCCTCAGTTCCAGCTCTGACGGCCAGGCACTTCTCCCTTCCCTGTTTGGGGCCAAGGCAGGGAAGACCTGCAGTCAGATTCTCTGACTCCCAGGAAAAACTAGCTTCTACCAAACAAAAACGACTGAGTAAATGCAGACAGAGGAGTCTCCAGGCACATTCTCGTCTGTCCCTAAGCCGCGGCGGACCGCAGCGGGACTGTAGCCCAGCGGGGCCCAGCACACCACCAGTGCAGTCAGCGGATGGGCCCTGCCGCCCACCGCTCCTCCCCTCCCCTCTGCCTCCTGGGCATCCTTTGGGACGTGTGTTCTCCTCCTCCTGTTTCAAGAGTGAGGAGGTATAGGGGTGATGCTTTAATTCAGCCATGAGTAGGTGGCACCATGTTGGGGATGACAGGACTCGGCAGCTTGTATACTGCAGACTGCACTGGCCCGTGTGGCTGGGTTGGAGCATCGTCCCATAGACTGGAGTGTTGTGGGTTAGATTCCTGTCAGGGCGCATACGAGAAGGCAATCAAGTCGATGTCTGTGTGTCTGTCTCTCTCTCCTCATTCCCCTCTCTCTAAAAGCAGTGAAAAAATGTCCTCAGGTGAGGATAAAAAAATTACATACTACTCTAGGCCCTGGCCAGGTAGCTCAGTTAGTTAGATCATCCCAATCAACACACCAAGGGTACAGATTCAATCCCCAGTCAGGGCACATACAAGAATCAACCAGTGAACGCATCAACAAGTGGAACAACAAATCAATGTTGCTCTCCCTCCCTCCCTCTCTCTCGCTAAAAATCAATTTTAAAATTTCAATGTAAGTGAGAAAATTATAAACATTCAGGGGGAATACTGCAAACCGCTGGTGCTGAGCTATGGCAATGCAGCTGAGGTCAGAGCGGAGATGGAAGTTACCACCGCAATCAAAAAGTTCTGCTAAAATGGCTCTAGCAGCTGCTGACCACGTCTTCGTGGCCTTGTTCTGAGCAGAGGGAGATCAGGCATCAGGGCCGCCCCGGGCCGCACTTCCGTCCAGCAGGCTCCATCCCTAGCAGGACTTCCGGGAGCCTCGGACCTCTTTTGGCCATGGGAGGCTGCAGCCATGCTGAGGAGCTGCTCGTCCCTGGCAGAGCCCCCCGCGGCCAGGCCAAGCCCTCTGTGGCACCACTGATTGGCTTAGGAAGTGGGTTAAAGGTCCCTCCACCCAAATTCATTGTGGGTGCAGCCCAGGCAGACACCAGCAGGACCACCGTTTCCGAAGCTGCCCTCCACTCTGCTCGCCCACGTCTCAGTGAGCTCAGAGCCCGAACTCTGAGCCAGGAGAGCGGCCCTACAAGTAAGGAGATAGAACTAGGGGAAGGCCGGCATCACCAGCCACACACCTGAGCCCTGCCTTAGTCACAGCCACGAACTTCTCAGCTCCTGCTCCATTTAGACTTTGCAGCCCTTGAACCCAAGTCCTGACTCTAGCTTTTTTGCTATTTCTGTGACTCTGGGCAAATTATTTCTCCACTCTGCACCTCAGCTTCCTCTCCTAATAGTAGCAGGCTCCTAGAGCCAGGATGAAGACTAAACCTACTCATCCATTTAACAAACGTTGACTACATGCCTGCTAGTGCCAGGCGCTGTTCTCACAGCAAGTGAGCAAGACGGCGGTGACCCCTGCTTCCAGGGGTACAGCTTAGCTAAGGCGACGACGGATCATAAGCAGCCAAAGAAGCATCTGAGCAAGATTATTTTGGAGGGTGAAAAGTGCTGGGCTGCAAAGAAACCGGGCGATGCAGTTGTGCTGGAGGGAGGGGGAAGCTTTAGACCCCGAGGTCAGGGGCCGCCTCGGGGGAGGTACAAGTGAGAGAAGACCCAAGCTGGGAAGATCCAGTGGAGAGCTGAGGGGCTCCGGGCAGGAGGAAGAGCTGTGCGAAGCACCTGAGGCAGAAGTGAGTTTGGTGATGAAAAGGAAAGAAAGAAGCAGCCAGGGCTGGGGCAGGGCTGGCAGGGGCCATGTGAGGCCTTGACCCTGAGCCGGGCTTTGGACCTTATTCTAAGTGTGATGGGCAGCCCTGGCCAGTGCGGGGAGGGGTGCTGTCAAGGCAGTGAAGAGTTTGGCTTGTGGTCCTAGAAGATGACTGTGGAGAAGGGAGTGCTCAGGGCCTGCTCAGGGCCTTAGAGCAGTTACTGTTATGGGTAAGGTGCAAGTCGGCATTAGGACGCGAGGGCTGTGTTCCTGTCCACGCGCCACCACAGACGGGGAAGGCAGCACTGACTCTGCTGAAGAGATTCCGCATGCCAGCAGGTCTCCGAGCCAGCACTAGTAGAAACATGATGTGAGCCACATATATCATATATTTTAAGTAACTTTCTACATGCTTATATGATTCAACAATACATAATTTTCTCTAGTGGCCACATTTTTTGATGAAAGAAACAGGGAAAATTCATTTTAATAACCATTTTTATTTAACCCAATATATCTAAAATATGAGTATATACTCATATGAGTATATGAGCATATGTAATCAATATTTAAAAATTAAGGGGATCTTTTATATTCTTTTTTCTCCTACTAAGTCTTCGAAACCCCATGCATGTTTTACACTCAGCCCGTCTCAGCCCTGACCAGCTTCCCTTCAGGTTCTCGAGATCACACATGGCTAGTGGCTGCCACGCCAGACAGGGGCCGGCCAGGCCACCGCAGGTGGGGGAAAACACGACAGACGTGAGTAGCACCAGGAGGGCTGGACGCTCTGGTTTCAACTCTGGAGCAGACACCAGGTCAACAAAGCATGGGCTACTCCTGTGTGGGCCCACCTCCATGTCCAGGAAACAGCCTTCTCCTCTCCTCCAAAACACACACATACACACAGGCAGAAATAAGGCCTGAAAGCCTTTCCCAGGAGCCACAGGCCATGGGTTGCTTGGAGCCTCATCTACACGCTGCAGCCTCCTGGGCAATTCCCCTGCCCCTCACTCACCTCCAGGGACACAAGCTGGTGACAGAAGCGTAAGCTGGCAGAGGCTGGCATTCTCCTTCAGCTTCCAAGATGCATTCCAGCTACTGAATGCACTTGGGGCCTGGCTGCAGCCGGCCGGAACGCCGCCTGCCCCACCCACAAACTCTGGTTCCAGGGAGATTAGCTGCAAAATCTGAGGACAACCCCCTGCAGCCAGGCACACCTCCTGGGATGCAGATTGCTGCAGAGAGGACTGCCTCATGGAAGCTGCTCTGGCACCTGTCTCATGTCACTTGGGGAGTCTCCTCCAGGGGTAGGCAGTGCTGCCCCTGGACACTTCCCCTCAGCTCTATCACCTGCACAAGCTACAAAAGTAACCCAGCTACTGTTTATCGAGAGCCTACTATATCCCCAGCACCCTGCTAATAAGTGCTTTGCAGGCATAATCTCATTTAATCCGAACAGCGCTGTGAAGCAGGGATAATGATTAAGAGAGACATGGTCATTAGAGCAGCTTGGATTTGAACCCTGACTCAGTAATTACGTGAACTCGAGGTTCTTTTCTCACTCCGTGCCTCAGTTTCCCCCTCTATATATAGCACAGGGAAAATAATAACACTTAGCTCACTGATCCGTTGTGAGGATTTATTGTGTTGCTCTAACCCAAAGCCCTTAGAACCGTGTCTGGCAGGTGGTAAGTATTTGTAAACCTTAGCTGTTTTCAGTTCTGTAATTATGCCCATTTTACAGATGAAAAAACATGGCTCAGTGAGGCTTGAAAACTTGGCCAGGGTTATCCAGCTTATAAGACATGGTAGTACCAGAGCCCAGGGCCATTACTACATTTTACCGAGCAGCACTAGGTGACCCCTCAGAGTCACCGTCTACAATGACCTGGGGGCCACAAGGAGGGTGGCACCCATGTGGCAGCCTCCTTGGTGACCTCCCCTGAGGCTCTGGTTTCCCCAGAGAAGCTCTAAACTGTACTTCAGCTTAATTCTTGCCCATCGCATGGGGACACTTCCACGCCACACAGGGCAGTGCTGTTACGGCCCAGGGGCTGGCACGTCTGAGAGGGTCTGCAGGCGTTCTATACCCTCCGTTGCCTGCTCTGTTTACCGAGCTCCTGCTACCCTGCCTCCTTCCAGAAAGGCTCTTTGGCTGCTCTGCCAGTCGTCTTGCCGATCTTTTCACCCTGGTGGGAAGCTTTCCTTCAGAGTGTTCTGAGTGTCCCAGGCTTTTCCTGAACTGTAAGGAACGCCACCCCCAAGGCCTGGGCTAGCAAGGCCAACAGAGGGCTTTATCTAGAATTCTGCATGCCTGGCGTGCTGACCAAGGAGGCCCCAGAGCTCCGTCCCTGAGACTGGCCACAGCCAAGCAGCTCTGGCCAGGAGATCAGTGCCATATGGGAAATGTCGACCTCCATCAGTAACCAGGGGCCGGCACAGGTGGGGCGTGAGCCCGCGGGCACCGCTAACCTTATTCTGACACCGGCCCAGCCCTCCCTTGCTTTTGCCCAGCGATCTCTGTTCATTTGAAGATCAACCAAAACCCCTTGTCAGGAGATCCCCGAGGGTCAGCTGGCCCCTGAGCTCAGGGTCCTGCCAGCTTCAGGGTGGAGACAGGGTGCTCCCAGAGGAGCTGCTGGCTGCTGCCACTGCCCACTTCCCCTTCCAGGAGCCCATCCTGGTCAGCAGCGATGCTACTGGGCAGGGCTTGGGCAGCGAGCAGGCAGGGGGAGGGTGGCTTCCCTCAGCTGGCCTCCACAGCTGCCCACAAGGCTCTAGCTGACCCAGGCCCTATGGCTACAGGGCTACAAGCTGCAGGTGAGAAGTACCCCCGTCGGCAGGTAGACTCCCAAGGCTCGGCTAGTCCCTCTGAGCACAAAGAGGGTGTGAGTGGGGTGGCGAGCTGCCTCCCCAGAGCCTGGGCGGCAGGTGTGGCGGGGCGGCTGTCATGCTTTGATCGTCTCTCCTGAAAGAGGAGCTCACCCTCCACTCACCCCGGGAATGAAAGAACTATGGGGGTCTCACCCCCACCAGCCCTGAGCCCTCCACATCTGTGCCCGGCCAGGAGCTGAAAGACCTGGTGGCCCAAGTGAAGGACGTGTCGGTGACTGTGGGCATGGACAGACGCTGCCACATCAACCTGAGCGGCATCGTGGAGGAGGTGAAGGCCCAGTACGATGCCATCGCAGCTCGCAGCCTGGAGGAGGCCGAGGAGTACTCCCGGAGGCAGGTTCGTGGCTGAGCACACAGGGTGGGGCGCAGCAGTCAGGACCGGAGGGGCCGCACTACTGATGGCTGGGGTCCCCTTCAAATGTGTGGAGATACTGGAAAGGGGAATGGGGCGGCACAGGGGCGGGCAACCACAGTGGTCGGTTCACAGACAGATTGGGAGCATTCGAGAGCTCAGTGTGGTTCTGGGCCCCGAGGGTGACGCGGGCTGGGAAAGCCCCTGGTCTGTACCCTCCAGGAGCTCAGGACGGGGCTGCCTCCCAGCAATGCTAGGCCGGGTGTGAGCACAGCTTGGGGGGCTCAGTCTGGGGCTCCAGTAGGAGGATGGGGTGGGGTCAGGAGAGGGGGTTAGAAGGGGAGGCTGCCCTGCGGTGGTGGCTGCAGAGGAAGGGGGCTGAGGATGGGAGAAAAAGGAGCAACAAGGGGCCAGAAACAGGAGGTGCCCGGAGGGACACAGTGAACAGCCCTGACCACCCTCCTCCACGCCCTGCAGCTGGAGGAGCGGGCCGCCTGCTCAGCCCAGTTTGGGAACAGCCTCCAGAGCAGCCGCAGCGAGATCTCTGACCTCAATGTGCGCATCCAGAAGCTCCGGTCCCAGATCCTCTCCGTCAAGAGCCACGTGAGTTCTGGAGAACCACCTGTGGGGGAGCAGGGAAGAACAGAGACACACAATTGTCTGTCTGTCCATTTCTCTCTCTCTCTCTCTCACACACACACACACACACACACACATGCTGAATACATGCAAGAGGAAGCCCCTGACTAAGTGACCTGGGCAGGTCACTTAGCACCTCTGTGCCTCAGTTTCCTCACCTGTCCTCCCAAGATGGCTATGAGAATCACATGAGCTTGCTCTGTAAACTGGCCAGGGCTGTTGGAATGGTAGAGAGCCCCACACACACACCCAGAGCCCACTGCCTCTTGCCAGCTCTACAGAGAGAAGGGAGCGGAGGCCTAAGCTCCAGGTTCCAGCCAGGTGAGCTTTCAGAGCAAGTGCTGCCCCGTAAGGACGGCCGAGACAGGCTCCTCTGGTGACCTGGGGTACTTTCCTCTTTGGTGGCTTTTGTAAAGTGTCTCCTCAGATCTTTCTGACCTTCCTCTTGCTTCATTGCAACCCACCAGCACACTCCACCAGCACACCCAGGAATGGGTTCCTTAGCCTCTCTCCCCACACACACCCCTGCCAAGAACAGAGGTGGGCTCCGTCCTGGCCCGGGCCCTCTCTCTTCATCCCACCCCTGCTTGCTGACCCCTTCCCTCTGTCCTCCTGGCTGCAGTGCCTGAAACTGGAGGAGAACATCAAGGAAGTCGAGGAGCAGGGTGAGCTGGCCTTCCAGGACGCCAAGGCCAAGCTGGCCCAGCTGGAGGAGGCCCTGCAGCAGGCCAAGAAGGACATGGCAAGGCAGCTGCGCGAGTACCAGGAGCTCATGAACACTAAGCTGGCCCTGGACATTGAGATCGCCACCTACCGCAAGCTGGTGGAGGGCGAGGAGATCAGGTGAGGGGTGGAGACAGCAGGGTGGAGCTGGGGGAGAGGGAGAACTGAGAACCAGCCCCACACCAAGCCGGCACCACCCCCAGCATGACACCATGAGCCTGGCAGGCCTGGGCTCACGTCCTGGCTCAGTTACTTACAAACTGGGACCTTGACCCAGCTCCTTAAATTCTCAGTTTTTCTACCTGGAAAGTAGGCTCATCATAAACATGCACCACCTGGGGTGGAGAGGGTTAATATGATTCTGCATGCAAATACCTATCTCAAATAAGTGCGCAGTAAATGTTAGCCATTTATACAGGGGAGAGGAGACGGGCCAAGAGGACAAGCTGGCTAGCCAGGGTCACACAGCAAGGCAGCCCCGAGCTGGCATGATAACCAAGAATTGCCCTCTACCTGCCAGTCCCCAGGTCCCCAATCCCAGGGGAATGTAAGCCTTCACACCCCACCATTTGCCTCCTTTCCCAGGATGGACATGCCTTCAGCCACCATGGTCAGCACTGTGCAGTCCAGATCCAGAGCTGGTGAGTCTACTTGCCCACGGTGGGGAGGGAGACAGGGTATGGGGACCATGGCCCTAAAGGCATCATTTTAAGTGGCTCCCAAACCTCCAGCCCCTTCCCTCCCCCACCCCTTATGTTCCCTGTAGCTTCCTCCAAGTCCCGCCTTGCAAGAGCTCCCTCCAGGAAGAAGAAGAGCAGCAGAGGCCCCGTGATCAAAATCACCGAAATGTCAGAGAAGTTCCTCATGCAAGAGTCAGAGGCCTCGGAGTAAGGCAGCTGGACCCCAGGAGTCCCAGACCACTCCGCTGCAGCAAGAGAGTCTTAAGCTAGACTCAAGAAGGCAGTTTGGAGCCTCCTGGTTGGGAGAGGAGGCAAACCTGATTCTGAACTGAGAAGAGCTCACAGCAATGAGCGTTTTCTCGTGGGTGCCAGGAGTGGGACAAAACTGTCGCCAGCTACTCAAAGTCACTCCGCTCCATATCAGTATCTCATAGTCCCACACTTCCAACCTTCTGGCCAGATGTTTCCTGACTGGATTAACTGGAAGTGGGGTCAGTTTTATCTCCACCTTCTCGCCCCTCTGAGACTCCTCCTCAACAGAGGGCTCTGACCAAGGTCCCTTTGACCCTTCTGCCCAACCCTTTTCCTAAACTCACATCTCAAGCCTTGCCTTGCCTCAGCCTCTGTACTTCACCCAGCCCCAGCCATGGACCGGGCACTGATGAGGACTGCTTCCCCCCACCTCCATGTCTGGAGGTCCTGGTGGGGGCTGGGTGCTGGGTGCCCCTGGTTTTCCTGTACCAGCTGGGCTCCCCAGAGACCTGACAGTATTAGGGAGTAAGAGAAGGAGGCACCCTGGGTGTTTTGGACCTGAGCTTGAACCTCTGAGATCGGCCCAAACACACCTGTGCCTCTTCTTTCCTCCTGTGGGGTCCTCCAAGTAGGTCACAGTCAGAAATGGACAGGCTGCCCAGGCAGCTCCCAGCACCTTCTCCAGAAGCTATTCTTGCCGTGATGAGCTTCCTGGGAGAAGGCTGGACGGCAGCCTGAGACCAAGCAGGAGAACCAGATCCTCCCTACCCCTCCCCTCCCTGCCATCCTGGGGCTCACTACCCTGCCTGGGATCTCAGCTCTCTGCACCCCCTTGCCCCACCCAGGCGTTTCTCAGCCTGAAACCTGACTTTGCTGTACCAGGTCCCTAACCCCACCCCTGCCATGAAACCCTGGGCTCATTTCCCATGAATCCCTTCCCCCCATCAGGCCAAAAGCCTGGCCCTGCCCTCTCCTGCATTCATCAAGGAGCCCAAGCACACCCTATACCTGTGGGGTTAGAGCTCCTCCTTCTCTGCCCCCTCCGCCCATCTCCCTCCGTGCCCAGTCTCCTGCCTCCAGCAGCACCATGATGAAGGCACAGTCCAGGAAGGTCTGGGAGATTCTGAGCCCTTGAGGTCAGGCTGGGGAGCCGCAGTAACAACCAAAGACAGAGTCTGCATCCAACAAGATTTGGGGCTGGGAGGAGTGCTCCTCTTTCTTTCCTCTTGGCTCTCACCTTTGGCGATTCCTCTAGCCTCCTACTCCACAAGCCACCTCCTCTCTTTCCCTCTCTTCTCCTTAGGTCCTCTCCTCCTGTAGCCCCAGTCTTTTGATTGATTCATCTCCTTTTCCCAGGGACCTTGGCTCCTCCCAGGGCTCAAGGTCCTCCAGGCCTCTGGGGGGCGCTGAAGGGCTACTAACACTCTCAGGCTGGAGGGAACTCAGACATATACTCATCCCTGAAGTTCCCAAAGGGAGCTGATTGCTGCTTTTTCTCTGCCTATTTATTGGTTTCTAAGGGAGCAAATCCACAATGGGGATACAATATATATAAAATATATTTTTTCATAACTTATGTGGCTTTTAACTTATTGCTTCCCTTCCTGTCTCTGTATAATCAGTGCTATACACTATTTGAATCGATAACACATATCCCAGCCACCCCACCCAACTGGCTGACTACCTTGGGGCAAAGCCCCTTTCTCCCTGCCAAGGGGTGAATAAAATACTGAGATTTGTTCATGAACAAAGCTGTGTGTCTATTTTTATCTCTCCTCTTGGGATCAATCAGTCACTGGTCAGACAGGTTGACCACAGGACTCTGGGAGTTCTCCAGTTATGGGGAAAGAGGTCCAGGGACCTAGTTACAACTTCAGACCAATGCAATTTGGACATGAAAGATCACCCACCCCACCATCCTATGAAAGTGTTGACCTGCGTTCCCAGTGCCTCCCGACCCACCTAGACAGCACGTGGCCGCCTTAGCAAGCCTGTCAACCCAGGATTCCTCCTGGCAATGGCGGGTTCCTTCTCCAGCAGAACTGTGGGGGTTGGCACAGCCCAGAATATATTTTGATGGGTGCAGGCCCAATCCTGCCAAGTCAAATGCTAGATCAACAAAGAAGGATTGAGGACCTTCTCGGAGCCCAGCCCTGGGCCAGCATACCTACAATCGTTCCCCACTCCTCTACCTCAGGAAGCTGACAGACAGCTTGAGAGAGAAGCTAACTACTCAAGACAGCCATTCTGGACTTCCTGGTCAGGTGAAGAAGGTCAGAGAAGAGAGGGACTTATGCAGGGAAGCTGAGAATCAGAGCAGGCTTCCTGGAGGAAGTAGGGCTTTTAAGTGAGTGTGAAGAAGCTAGAGATGGTGAAAGAAGAGCAGGTGTCTCAAGGTAGGAATCTTAGGGGCAAAGAAGGGACTTTGAAGCATTGAGACAGACAAATGAGCCTCAGTTTCCTCATCTGTAAAGTGGAGCACATACCTTCTCTACTCACCTAATAGGGCATTTGAGGATCTGAAAACAGTTATGTTCATTCCTATCAGGAATGACACATCTCTTGCTTCCAGCACTCTGAACTGTAACAGCTGAACAAATGCAAAGCATTATTAGTGATGTTACTGTTATTGCAGCAGATGTTATGGATTAAAGACAGCCCACTGCTTGGAAGACCAAATACAGGTGAATGGGCCTCAGTCTGGCTCTCTCAAGACTCAGGAGAGGCAGATGGATAAACCGCATTCCCACCCAGGAGGGGCCTAGTGCCAAGACCAACTGTCTACTTATCTACCTTTATTCTATTTTCTAGTCTGATTTCTGAATACTAATTTGAATTTCTGGATCTGAATCTGAATTTCATTGTCAAAATATGTAACATGTTATTTCCTTCTTTCTACTTTCTTTAAATTAATTATTTTTATTATCGTCCGACTTCTTGAGTTGAATCTCTCATTTTCCAACTTTCTTCTTTTTCAATATAGATTCTCTGAAGGACATATATTTTCTTCTAAGTACTCTTTTGACTGCTTCCTGTTGTTTTCATATGTAGCATTTTTATTAGCATTCAGATAAAGTGATTTTATTCCTTGACTCATAAGTTACTTAGAAATAAGTTCTTAGAATGAATATGGATCATCTGCATCACAAACGCTTGTTGAGCACCTACAACCCCCAACCCCTAACCCCAACCAGGCGATAAGCCAACTCCCGTGTGCAGGGACCATGTCTTATTCAACCGTGCACCCCAGCATCTAGCAGGGTGCCAAGCGTGCGGTCGGTGCTTACTGAATGCTGGATAAATGAAGGTAGGCCTGAATGGCAGGGGCCTGCAGCTACTGAGGGATGAAAGTTGAAGCCATGACAAAGGACTTTTTGGACACCTGCTCAGAGCTGCACCCTGTGCCAGACACCCTGGGAGAAGTAGGAGGAAGTAAAGGGTACAATGGGGTCCTTGCCCTTGAGGGCTAGGGGCGTCTGCTCCCGGCCAGAATCCTGCTCACTCACAATCCTCTGTTGAGCCGAAGTCCTCTCTGTTGTGGTGAGCATGCTCTCTGTGGGACCTTGGGCAAGGTGTGTCCCCTCTCTGCAGCTGTTCCTTCATCTGTAAAATAAAGCGGTTAGATGAGTGCTCCGACAGCTGCTATCCCCACCCTGCGCACCTCAGTTCCCTAGGCAACGCACCTGCAGGCTCCTAGCTGTGCGGTTTTAGGCAACCTCCAAAAGCTAGAGTACCCGCCTCAAAGATCTGTTGTGAAGCTTTAAAGAAACGATGCACAATTTTTTAAAAATTAGCACCATGCTTGGCACAGGCTAAATGCTTAAAAATAACAATAGCAGCCAACATGCCCACTGTGAGAGCCTGTCCCCTCTCCCAGTGAAGTGGTTACTCGAAGGCCCGCCCCCTCTGCCCAGGTTCACCTGCATCCTGCCCCACCCCACCCCTCCAGGAGGGGCCAGGGCTCAGAGACTCCTTTTGGGGCAGCTGGGGATTAGAGAGGGTAGGCAAGTGGCCCAACCCTTCTGTTTGCTGCAGGAGCTGACTGCCCACATTCCTTTAGGGAAAGGTCAATGCGGGCCAGGCGGTCTTGCACCGCGGCAACCCCTGCCCCCTGCCAGCGTCAGCAAGACCAGCACTTCCCAGGAGCCTGAGCCCACAGAACTTCCCCTCCTCCAGGGAGGACTCAGGATGTGTTTTCAAATGCAAAACCCAGAACTCAGGTCCCCCACACTCTTAGCTTCGATACCAGTACTAAGCGCTCAGAGGCTCCCAGGGATGAGCCTTCAGGGCTGAACCCCCAGAGCTGGGACCACCCTCAGCCCCGGCTCCACCTCCGTTCCACAGGGTCAGGCTTAGCACCGTCCACCCAGGGGGCTGCCGGAGCCCACAGGCCTCAGAGACCCTGACCCCACCTGGAGCACTCACCCCACCCCCCAGTTCTGTCTCCTCCTTTGCCAGCTCAGATGTCACATTCTTAGAGACCTGTCCATCTAACAGAGCCCCTACTACCTCCACGCTACTTTTTATTTCCTACTTTATCGTGACCCTGTCTTGCGTTCATCACAGCATTTAGCACAGCCTGCTCTGCCTGGTCGATTTTTCCTTCTCTAGTGTATCGGTTGGGATCCCAGCGGAAAAGAGAAACCAGTCTATTTTAGACATAGGGGCTTAAATGCAAGGAACTGATAGGGTGGACACTGAAAGCTGACAGACCTCCGCAGGCCTAGGAGGAACGGAAAATCACCAGGAGAGAAAATGGCTCCGGCACAGTGGGAAGCTGCCTGAAAACCCTTCCCAGGAAAAACAGATAAAGATTAGGGTCTGGGGTCAGCCTATTCGGCATAACGGGATGCAGCTTTAACTTGAGCCTGCACCCAGCAGCCAGCTCTAGCCAATTAAACTCTGATATCCCTCGCTTAAAAACCCTGACCTAAGAACAACTGAATGAGTCCCAACCTCCCTTGGTCCGCTCTACTTTCCCACTGATAAACTCTGTTCTCCTTAGCTTGCTGCATCTGTCCAGTTTCTTGAGTCACTCTGACCTAACAAAAGCATAAAGAACAAAGCGGGGATGCTGAGGTATTCTAGAGACTAGTAAACACAGAAGGCAACCGCTGGAGAGCCGAGAGAGGGGTCTTACCAAACCCCAGTGCCCAGGCAAGGGTCCCAGCAGGACAGTTCTTGGACATGGGGACAGGGGATTGGATGGAGCAAAATGTTTTCCCTCTAATGGGAAGAGTGGGGACTTCAAGGCTGGGAGATTGCTCTGAGGGCGGTGGCCAAGGATCACGTGGGCTGGAGCAAACCTCCTTGTCTTCGGCCCCCATCTCCGAGACGCATACTACCTCAGGAGCAGCACTCCGCGTTCCCCCAACAAATAGTTATTGATGCCACGATTCGCCAGCCGTGTTTCAGGCTCTGGGAATGTGGCGCGAACAAGTCTGCCCACATCTTGCTTCGGTGGAGTTTAGTCTCACGGGAAGACAGACAAGAAAGAAATGCATTGTACAAGACAAAGTCAGCCCGGTGGCAATAATACGAGATATTGTGGAGAAAAACAAAGGAGTCGCAGGCATAAGGGGTGTTGAGGGAGGTCAGAGAAAGCCTCACGGAGAAGGGGACGTTTCAGGAAAACCCAGGAGGTAAAGAGTAGGCCACACAGGTGCCTGGAGACAAGCCCTCAGGCTGAGAGAATAGCAAAGGCAGATTCTCTGCCAGGAGGCCAGTGCGGCTGCCGTGGAGGACAGAGGGGATAGTGGGAGGAGGAGACTGGTCAGAGGGGGGCCCAGACTGTGCCGGGCATCGTGGGTCATGGTTAGACTCCAGCTTTGACTGAGATGGAGGGTCTGGGGTGGCCAGTGACCGGGTCTGACTTTGGCGGGGAGCGGCAGAGGGCCAGAGCAAAACAGTGAGATCTGGAATTTTCCCAGCCCTGCCTTCAACAAGAAATAAAAGAGAGAAAGGGTCTTCCCTGCCAGTCTTTCTTTTACCCCATAACGACCATCTCAAGGAATCAAAGGGTGGGGAGTAGTTTTCATTTCAACAGGCCCCAGGACCCCTGCCCGCCTGTTAGAATGTTAGTTCCTTAAGACAGGTGCCACCCCACGCGACTTGCTCCTTATGGTATCCCCAGTGCCTCACTAAGGGCTGGCACTTAGCAAGTGTTCATTAAATATACAGGTGGGCAAAAGTAGGCTTTGGTTGTGAGTACTCAAAACACAGAGTTAATGAAGCTATCGTAACAATCATAACCTGCATGTCGTTCTCCACGCAAACGACTGTGAACCTACGCTTGCCCACCCCAGTATGTTTTAAAGAAACTGCAGGCTTGCCAGTGAGGGAGGCTCTGGCAGCTGGCAATGACCTCCACGGCCACCCGTGTGTCACTGCAGCTGCTGGGCCGCTCGCTATTAGATTTCGCCTCCATTTCAGGGGTGGCTGAATGACTTGCCCAGGGTCACCCCGAGGCAGGCTGGAATCAGACCTCAAGCCTGTCTGATTCCGGAGCCGGGGCCCCTTCTCACAGTCACAAAGGCCCAGCACACCCTGTCAGGCCAGTGCAGCCCCTGCCACCTCCATCCGGCTCACCCAAAGCCCTCCGACAGCAGCCTGGCAGCTCTAGAGGAGGAGGGAGCTGTTCTTTTGTGCCTGTCCCCTGAGGGTCTGTGAGTCTACAAGCAGGGGTTGGGAATCTGTCTCTCTGTGTATTTGACCCTCTCGGTGCACG